AAATGTCTTCCAGTTACCCTTCTACAGAAATAACTTGTCAGGGTATATAATTCTTGGTTCAAAATTATTTTCCCTTAAAACTCTGTAGATTTAGTTTTATTGTCTTCTGGCATATTTAAAGTTGCAAGAGAGAAATCAACCTGACTTTTGCTACTTTATATAGGTACCTTGCTTTGTCTGTCTGGATACTCAATAGAATTTTTTCTTTATCCTTTAAATTTAAAAATGTCACGAGAATGTCTAGGTGTTGCTTTCTTTTCATCAAATTTTAAAGGTACCCTGTGTGCTTTTTCCATTTGTAGATCTGGTTTGTTCTTCAACTCCGGAAAATTTTCTTCAGTTCCTTAATTACTGTTTCAGTTCCATTTATTTTGTCCTCTGTTTCAGGTATTCCTGTTATGTGTAGATTGTATCTACTGGACCCCAGTCCTCTAGGTCTTTCTTTCTTTTTTCTTGATTTCTTTTTCTTTTTTTTTCCACATTCTGTGACTTTGTTGTTTTGCATTTACTTCAGTAATTTGATTTTGTGGACAATCCAACTTGCTTGTACTTTCTATTAACTCTCTTAGCTCCCTGATGCTTTTCGAGCTCTCTGCCCATCCCTTCTCTAAGTACTGTGGATAGTTTGTTAAACTCCCTTGTTATATAATTCATAAGCCTTTCTGTAACTTCTATTTTCAGTGTTACATCTGTTTCAAGAGGAGGCATTTTCTTGAAGACTTAGCTCTGTTCCTTTTTTCTGAACTGCAGTATTATGACTTTTTCAATAACTCTTAACAGTGTAGACCAAAAACGAAGATTAAGGGAGGTGTTCTGTAGCACAGAAAATCTGATCTTTGATTGATTGATTGATTGATTTGTCTTTTTTTGTGACCAGTAAGGGGATCGTAACCCTTGGCTTGGTGGCGCCCACACCACGCTCAGCCAGTGAGCGCACCGGCCAGTCCTATATAGGATCCGAAACCGCGGCGGGAGCATCGCTGCGCTCCCAGCGCTGCACTCTCCCAAGTGCGCCACGGGGCCGGCCCCGAAAATCTGATCTTTTTTTTTTTCCTTTTTGTCTTTTTTCGTGACCGGTAATGGGATCGCAACACTCGGTGTTGTGCCCGCACCGCGCTCAGCCAGTGAGCTGGAACCGGTCTCCACATGGGATCCGAACCCTCGGCGGGAGCGCCGCTGCACTCCGAAGCGGCGCACTCTCCAGTGCGCCACTGGGCCAGCCCCTGATCTTTTAATAAACACAAAATTAGGATGTTGTTACTCTCTTCTCTGTCTTAATCATCACATATACTTGGGGGATGTTATGGTCACTGTCTTCCATTAGAGTTTTTTTTTCTGAAAGAGGTTTTAATCTACTGGCTAAATACACACCCATAAGAAAGACAATTTTCAAATAATTGAAAATTTTGACTTGGGTATCATAGAGTTCCTGGTAATGTTCAAAGCTTTCAGTGAAATCCTGGCATCTTGATTCATTTCTTTATATACTTTTATAAATCATACGGAAAAAGTACTAGTCTGGGAACATAAATAATTTTTCAGTAAAATTCTACATGTGCAGTATTAGTGGAATAAGTATGTAGAACATTTTGTGGTTATACAGCACTGAGTTTTTCTATAGGCAACTTGAATAAACTTTGAGTCCATTTTATGTACAGCAACATACTTAACCTCTTTTTTTCCTTTCCTGTCCTTTTGAATTTTAGGGCAATGTGTATGTGAAGTGCCCATCAATCGCTGCAGCTATTGCTGCTGTCAATGCATTGCATGGCAGGTGGTTTGCTGGTGAGTTGGATGGTTTTTTTTCTGAGTGTTATTAAGGTTCTAAAACTAAGTGAAGATGCTAAACCCAATGTATCTGTTTCTTTCAACAGGTAAAATGATAACAGCAGCATATGTACCTCTTCCAACTTACCACAACCTCTTTCCTGATTCTATGACAGCAACACAACTACTGGTTCCAAGTAGACGATGAAGAAAAATAGTCCCTTATGTACATAGCTTTTTTTTCTTTCATGAGAATTCATCTTGAGTTATCTTTTATTTAGATAAAAATAAAGAGGCAAGGGTCTACTGTTATTTGTATACAATTCCTGTTACCCTGAAAAAATAAAAATGTTAACAGGAAAGCAGTGTGCTCATTCTCCCTAATTAGCAAATCCCACTGTATACAAAGCTGTTCTCTTGTTCTGCCTTTCAAGATGTTCATGTAGAAAATTACATTAAGGATCTATAGGAATAGCTCTAGGGGAACAAATGTGCTTTCTGTAAAAAGGCAGACTGAGATGTAATGATGTTTTTAATGTTTCAGAAGCCTAACTTTTTACACAGCAATTACATTTCACATTTCACTAATGTTGATATTTGGCTACTGGCTTAGCAGAGGTTTCTGGAATACACATTTAGTGTATGGAAATTCAAGACAGCTAAAGGGCTGTTTGGTTAGCATTTCATCTTGCATTCTGATTAATTGGCAAGAAAGGGAGATTTCAAAATTATAATATTTCTTGATGGTATCTTTTCAATTAATGTATCTGTAAAAGTTTCTTTGTAAATACTGTGTGTTCTGGTGTGTCTTTAAGATTCCAAACAAAATGATCCCTGCATTTCCTGAAGATGTTTAGTAACAGTGTGGTGAGGAAAGCAGTCTGAGCAAGAAATAGGAAATGCAGAAATAGGTTTTGTCTGGTTGCATATAATCTTTGCTCTTTTTAAGCTCTGTGAGCTCTGAAATATATTTTTGGGTTATTTCAGTGTGTTTGACAAGACAGCTTGATATTTCTATCAAACAAATGACTTTCATATTGCAACAATCTTTGTAAGAACCACTCAAATAAAATTCTCTTTAAAAGGCCACAAGAAATCTTCATTTTTTAAGTCTTTTAAAGTCATAGAAACTTGAGAATAGTATATTAGCTTCTTTAACTTTTAGTAGTAATTTAGTACTTGCCTCTTTGGGAAAATAATTCTTAGTGTGCAGAGTCTGGGAAAACCTTTGTCCTTAAGCTGTCTCCTTTAAATTCCTTTCACTATAGCCTAGCACTGTACCTTTTACGATAACTTCAAAACTGAGGGATTTACCAAAAACAAAACCAAATATTTGCCCAGGCCTTAAACTGGGCATTCTTAGTCTCTTGTGTGGTTTGGCATCTTTGTGAAAAAATGCTTCACTTTTTAAAGGTAATTACTAAACAAAATGGCATAAGTTCAAATGGATTTCCCAAATTTATTTAGTTGCGTATGTTTACTATATTTAGGGATTCTGTGCTATCATATTAGTTGGGCAGTGCACCTTTAGCATTTATAGTCTGAACTCACATCTTCAACTTTTGTATTTTTGTTAGATCTTTGGGTTGGCAGTGTTGATCCTAATGGCACGTTACCTTCAAATATTTACTGCCTTACCTGCTTATTTTCATTTCTGTTGTATTGATTTTTTAGCATCGAGGCACAAGTTCTATACGTTTATTCAGTTATCAAACAAGTTGATTATTCAGTATGAGTTTGGCAGCATCTCAATTTTATACGAAGCCTTCAGGTATATTTTTAACCTGTTTTATTTTTCCCCTTAATTGCTGTAGTTATTTAATCTGAAGAAATATTTTAGGTTCAAGTTATCTATTTTTCAATACTAGGCAGCAGTGTTTGGGGTAGAAACTTTTTTGCTGCGGCTGCTGCTATCCAGTACGGGGATCCAAACCTTTGATCTTGGTGTTAGTGGGGTAGAGATTTAAGCTGTAATTCTCCCCCTCTTTCCGAAATATCACCTGGTATTGCTGCATTTATTTATTTATTTTCCTTGAACTAAGTTCTGTCAAGTTTGTTATTCCTTTCCAGGGAAGTAGGCCAACAAACATGGCCTTTCTTAGTTATTTGATCTCTGTTGAAAAGAGGTGGCCAAAGTGTCTACCATCACAGAACGAAATTTGGTTTATAAATGACCTTGAACTAAGTTCTGTCAAGTTTGTTATTCCTTTCCAGGGAAGTAGGCCAACAAACATGGCCTTTCTTAGTTATTTGATGTCTGTTGAAAAGAGGTGGCCAAAGTGTCTACCATCACAGAACGAAATTTGGTTTATAAATGATGTTCAGAAGAAATGTAGGTAGAGTTTACTAACTCGTATCATGTGATGCCTAGGAAACAGTTCAAATGGCCATTCTGAGTGAAATCCTTTAGAACTCGTGAGACAGCATCTCATTCTTTGGTTGGGAACGCTGCAGCTGCTGTAACTATTTTGGTAGTATCTAATTCCTGCCAAATATTCATGTATTTTCTTGTATTTTAATCATTACATTGACTACCATCTTTTAAAGTTTTGATTAGTAGAAATTTGAGGGGTAATGCAAGTCAGAAAATCTACCAAGGCTGTGGTCTGGGCAGGTGAGGGGCACTTCATTACTGAAGCCACTCTAGCATCAGAATTTTGTGGGAAGTCAGGTTGTATAGTTTACATTGTTGATGGCCGGTTGGAAAATCATCTGGGATTTAATTTGGCCAGTTGAAAACTTAGAGGTGGCCAGTGTTTAGAATTTATTTCATAGTGGATTAATTGTTCTTTTTCTGATAAAGCCAGCAGCAACCTAGACTTCTGATTCTGTTTTTTTACCTTTAAAATGGTGCTAATAGCACCAAGCTTCAGGGTTGAATTGAGTAATAGAATTTACTAGAATCTATGGAAGGTAACCAGAACCCCCAAACATTCCAATTTTGGATTAGCAGTCTTGTGAAACACACCAACCCTACTCATTAGGCCACCTCTTTTTATTTATTTTTTTGTGACCGGTAAGGGGATCGTAACCCTTGGCTTGGTGTCGCCCGCACCGCGCTCAGCCAGTGAGCGCACCGGCCATCCCTATACAGGATCCGAACCCGCGGCCTCGGCGCTCCCAGCGCCGCACTCTCCCGAGTGAGCCACAGGGTCGGCCCTAGGCCACCTCTTTTTAGCCTAAAAGATGTTTGGCTAAGTTGGATAATAGAAGAAAATGGCTCTGACACTTGAGACTACTCAAAGAGTTGGTTTTATTATATATATAGCACACGGGCTGAGATTGGTGAAAAGGCGTAGATGTAGCAGGCAGCTATTGTCCTGGTTAGCATCGGATGCCCATTCCGATGGCCATGAATGTGCCAAAGGTGCCACCACTTTGCATCATGGTTTTCCCAATGCCGCCCATCAGCTCTCGACCCCGCATTCCGATCCTGAGGAGAAAACCAAGTTGGGGCCATTCGGGAACAAAAATACACGGAAGAATATTAACTTCTAATCTGTGCTTCTAATAACGATGAATTGAGCACTATTAAAGTCTGGCAACCCCTGTATCTCATCTGCCAATTGCTAGACACACTCTTCCCACCCGGAGTGGGTAATTACAAGAAAAAGGATCGATCCATCAGGGTCTCTAGGGCCCTCAGACTGCCTTGATAACTACAATAACTACCACAGTGCTTAATATGTTAAGTGTTTAGTATAAATGGTATGATCTTGGAATAAGGGGAATGACGATCTCTAAATGTAAAAATGACCAGAGTATAGAGTTTTATCTGCTTCGTCTGCATATCCCGTTCCTGGGATAGGAAAACTGCTCAACAAGTTTGTTTCGTTATACACAAGTGGAAATAAAAACAGCAGCAGCAATACTAATAACCATTTACTGAGCACTTAATATGTGCCAGATCGTAAGTGTGCTGGTTTCATTCTTAAAACTGACGTGGGAGTTATTGTCCCAATCCTATACTGGAGAAAACCCAGCCTTTACTTGTCTAAAGTCACCGAACAAGTAAAGAGAAGTTCTGGCCAGAAAGGATTTTGACTCTAGAGCCCAAATTCTTAAGCAATCACGCTTCCAACCTGTCCTTTCAGACTGAAGATGGTTAAAAGATAAGTCTCGCTCGGTACAGGACAGCGATGGAACTAGAACAAAGTAGGCTCTATTGAGGCTCCAGGCCGAGTGGAGTGCTGTGGGAAGTTCCAGTAGTCCCGCCCGGAGATCACCGCCCGCGCACCTCACCTGAGACAGGAAAAGGTGCCGAAGAGCGCCCCGGCCGCCATGCCCACAGCGCAGCCCATCACAAAGCCCATCTTCACCCGGTCGAAGCAGCTTGGCTGGGACTGTCCATAGGGACCCACGGCCACCGGCATCTGCAAGGTCCAAGGGATAGGGAAGTGCGGGCCCAGCCGCTAGGAGGGAGTCGGGCAGGGACGGAGGCGGCGGGGAGGGGAGTAGGCCCAAAGGTTGGGAGAAGTCAGGGAAGGAAAATCAGCGCGTAGCCACACTCCACCACCCTCTTTGCATTCGGGCCCACGCGCCGCACGACACCGCACGGTTCGGGCCACCCCCACCTTACCTCCCTTGTGGCGTCGGTCGCTCAGTTCTACGTCTCACACGGAAAGCGAGGCGGAGGGCGCTCCCGACCCGAGCAATCGCTTCCGGAGCGCGGGGCAGTACTTCCGGGAGCGTGGGGCTGTGGACTGCAGCCACATCGGGTGGTGGGCTCTGCCCCCAGGACCATGCTGCTACGAGCCCCCTGGAGGCGAGCGGCCTTGGCGGTGAAGGCGGCTCGCGGGTCGAGGCCCGCGGCGCTCACTCGGGGGCTGCGCCTGCGCGGTACGCTCCCGGTCCCGCTCGCTGCCACCCTTCGGGGAGGCGCGGGTTCTTCCACCTCGGCGCGGCCACGCACTTGAATATCCCGGAGCCTCCCTGTCATGTCCCGCTGCCCAGACCTTCTGACCCTTTCTCTCGGATGCACCCCTCAAACTTTCTCAGGCTGGCCCTCCGAACGGCTGACTCCGCCGCGCCACCCCGCAGATCCTGCCCCGCAGGCCCCCAGAACTTAGGAGGCTGGACCTTCAGACCTGGCCTGGCCAACTTTTAGAGTCCTGGCTCTCGTCCAGCTGGTAACCTTTGAAAGAAATCTCACCTACTGTGTCTCCACATTCCTTCTAAATGGCTTTGCCCTTTAGAGCCCTCCTCACTTCTAATTTGAATATTGAGACAATTTGAATATTTCCCCAATGTCCCCCTCCAAGACCCCTGTCCCTCTCTGTTCCTTACCTCCTTTTACAGCGTGCTCGGTTCTCTGATGTTTAGTTTCCTTTCCATTGACATTCGACCCCAGCATCCCTTAAACTTATCATCCTCATTCCATCCAGCTTTTACCTTCTGCTATCTTGGATGCCCTGCGTTTATAGTTGCATCCTTTCTCACTTGGCCACTCCGTGTCATTTTTTATTTTATTTTTTTGTCAGTTGTAGACAATGCTCCCCAGTCGGCTGTTCCCTCAGATAGAGCCACTGCTTCGGAGCCGGAGTCAGTGCTGCGACCTCTCTATATGGATGTGCAAGCTACAACTCCTCTGGTAAGGATGGACGGGCAGCTTTTCCCAAGGCTTTTTTATGGGGAGAAAGTGGTAGAAGTGACAATGCACAGGGATGGCTGAATCCCTGTAGAAGTGAGAGCCATTGAGATGTGCTGTAAAAAGCAATGAGCCAGGAATCAGGAGGCTCAAATACTAGTCTGCTAGAAATGGCTCAGTTGCTTACTAGCTATTGACCTTGCTTACATCACTTCAGTGCAGGTGCTACAGTAGTAGTGAAAGGCATGGGCTCTGGAATTAGCAGGACTGCCACTTAGTAACAACATGAATTTGGGCAAATATTAAATGGTTAAAAGAGGTAAAGCAGCCTGGCACTGATAAGCACTCCAGTACTAACGCAAATTTTCACAAGTATGTGAGAAAGTGTGTTTGCCTGGGCTCTGTCTTGTTCCAGTCTCTGATAGGTCACCTTGCCTGGCTGGAATAGAAACAACTGGGAGAACAAGGCAATGTTTATAGACTGCCTGTGGGGGTGGCAGAACCATCTGATGTAAAATGGATTGGGAGTGGGAGTATATTAGGTTAATATTTGGTTATCACCTGAGGGGGATGGAGGAATGTTTGAGGCATAAGCTAGGCAGTGTCTGAAGAGTTGGGAGTGCATTTAGGCAGGGTGAGCAGGTCTGAGGGGATGGAGTGGGGCCTGAGTTGACTAGGAGCTCAAGGAGTTTGCTCAATTCTGTTATACTCAGGACCCCCGGGTGCTTGATGCTATGCTCCCTTACCTAGTCAACTACTATGGGAACCCACATTCCCGGACACATGCTTATGGCTGGGAGAGTGAGGCAGCCATGGAACGTGCTCGCCAGGTTAGTACAGAGGAGTCTGGGAGGTTCTGAGGTGAGGTCTGTGGGAGGCATTTCCTTCTTAGTAGGTGCGGGTGGAGGTGGAAATGGTTTTGGTTTCCTTCTAGAAGAGATTCAGAGAGCAGGTTTAGACTTTGGCTGCAGGCATTTGATTAGTTCCCACATTTCCTAGCTAAATGTGTGACCTTGGGCAAGTTATCTAATTTCTCTAAGCCTCAATTTCTTCACGTTTAAAATGGAGATTGCAGGGCCTGCCTGTGGCTCACTTGGGAGAGTGTGGTGCTGATAGCACCAAGGCCAAGGGTTCAGATCCCTATATAGGGATGGCCGGTTAGCTCACTTGGTAGATAGAGCCTGGTGCTGACAACACCAAGTCAAGGGTTAAGATCCCCTTACTGGTTATCTTTAAAAAAATAAAATAAAATAAATAAAAATAAAATGGAGATTGCAGGGCTGGCCAGTTAGCTTAGTTGGTTAGAATGTGGTGTGTTATAACACCACGAGGGTTCAAATCCCTTTACTGGCCAGCCACTACCAAAAAAAAAAAGAGGAGATTGCAATAGTTTCTACTCGCTAGGGTTATTGAGTGGATTAAATGAGACAATGCTGGTAAAGTGTTTAGTAACACAGTACCTGTATATAATAAAAGCTCAATTTAAGTGCATTTAATAAAAATCCAATATTATTATTATTATTATTTTGTACTGGGCTGTAAAAGAGCCTTGGATCTGGAATGTAACTGAATCTGTCCCTTGTCTGACCCTAGTAGGTGCAGAGCTTCTTCCTGGGTGGTTGGTTAAAGGCGGTGGATCACTTCCAGGGCTCTGTTCTAGCTGTGTCTGTAGCCCCAGTCCTGCCTGGGGAACTGATGTGATAGATCTCTCTTTCTTGACTTGCAGCAAGTAGCATCTCTGATTGGGGCTGATCCTCGTGAGATCATTTTCACTAGTGGCGCTACTGAATCCAACAACATAGCAATTAAGGTAAGAGAAGGGAACCAGAGGTCATATCTGGGCTTTCCTGACTCAGGAGCTAGTGTCCTATCATTTGGACGCATATATGTATTTCCCATCCACTTACCCCACCCTATCGTGAAGAGAAGACATACACTTCCTGATTTGTTGCTTCCTTCAACCCTTTGTAATCCACTCTGTCTTATGTCTATTCTCCTATTGGTCTGAGTTCTGCGAGGTAGTTGGATAGGGAGGAGGTGGCTCTTTGGCCACTAACTGGATTTTGGATTGCAGCTACATCAGAGAGTGGATAGTGGTGATTGAAACTCTTTTCCTCTTCTTTTGATCTAGTAGCAGCTAAGTTCAGAATCACTTGTACTTGCACATGTTTCTCTGCTTCTTGTTAGCAGCTTCACCCTTATATACATGATTTAAGGGCTGCCCTCCTCTCAGCATTCCCTTTCTTTCTGATTAGATGTTTGCAAAAAGTTCTTCCCCTTTCTTTAGATGTCTCCGTTTTGTAGTTTTTTTTATTTTGTTGTTTTTAGACGCCTCCATTTTGAAGTGCTTGTGGCTGTGGTGCCCTCTGCAGGCATTGACTTGGTTACCCACTCTGTCATTTTATCCTTGGATATATAGATCCTTGGTGCTAACGCAAGTAAAATTCCATTTTTAGTAATCATGTTGGTGATTCAAAGACTGTAATCACATTTGACTGGGCCTTGGTACCAGGATTACTTGTTGTAAATGCCAAGGCTCTGAGAAATTGTGGCCTGCTGTGGGTTCAACTCTGGCTTCACTCCCTCTTGTGGTTGTCTCTCAACTGTGCTGCCAGGGTTGGTTTCTCTGACCTTGGCCTAGCTGTAGGGGGCCTGGGATGACGGTCTCCAGAGCCACCAGCACTCTGCCTGATCCTTTTATCAGGAAGGCATCCTTTCTTCATACTACAGAGACCATGAAGTCAGTGTAGAGGTCTCTCCAGAGGTGGGGATGGTTTCTGGAATGGGGAGCACTTTCAAAACTCTGAAAATGTTTGCTTTGGAAGTCTCCACAGATCTCAAACCTAGAACAGGTCAAGAATTGCTAACAATAGCTATGATGGTATTCCTCATAGTCTCCTGGATGGATGACTTATAATTCATTCCTGAATGAATGAATTACAAATGTTCAGATAGTATGGAGTAGAACTCCTTAATTTAACCCCATAGAGATAATTTTAACAATTTGCCGTATATTTCTCTAAATTTTTAAACACATACATTTATCTGTATATTAATATTGCTATTATTTTAATAGATTTAATTTTTTATAGAAGTTTTAGGTTCACAGTAAAATTGAAATGACAGTAGAGATTTTTCATATATCCCCTGACCCCACATACACATAGCCTCCCCCGTTATCAATATCCCCCACCAGAGTGGTACATTTGTTATAACTGACATTGATACATCATCTCCCAAAGTCCATAACTTACACTAAGATTCACTCTTAAAATAAATAAAAACAAAACGAAAAGATGCACTCTTGGTGTTATACATTCTATGGGTTTGAACAAATATGAGTCATTCTAGCAAATTATTGACCCTTAGAGAGCTATAGTAAGTCGTACATTTATAGCCGGCCAGGCAGAAGTATGGGTGGCTTGAGACACCTCAGACTTGCATCTGGCATCTGAGGTGGGAGCAGTCTTGTGGGACTAAGCCCTTAGCCTGGGGGGTTTTTACTAACTCTGAGTAGTTAGTGTCTGAATTGAATTGAATTGTAGAACACTCAGTTGGCGTCAGAGAATTGGCATTGGAGCATAATTCCCTTGCTCACTTTCCCCTTACAAATGAGGTTGAAGTCATTGCTGTCCCTCTGAGTATGTTTTCCTTCCTTCCACCACCACCAATTTCTAGGGTGTAGCCAGGTTCTATAGGTCACGGAAAAAGCATTTGATCACCACCCAGACAGAACATAAATGTGTCTTGGACTCCTGCCGTTCACTGGAAGCTGAGGGTTTTCAGGTCACCTACCTCCCAGTGCAGAAGAGTGGGATCATCGACCTGAAGGTAAGAGTGGCTCTTGGGCAGGAGGGGCAAAATAAAATAGGAAGAGCCTGGCTTCAGCCTGTATATCTATCTCTTCAACCTCAGCTGGAGCTTGAAGGACTATATCTAATGGTTAGGGTGGGGTTTAGGGATATAGGCCTGGCAGAGAAAGAGATTATGTTTCCCTTGGCTGGCTGGTTAGCTTAGTTGGTTAGAGTGCAGTGTTACAACACCAAGGTCATGGATTCAGATCCCTGTACCGACCAGCCACCAAAAAAATTTTAAAAAGAGATTATGTTTCTCAGGTTTGTTGGTGCTTCCTGGTTTGTATGAGAACCACTGGGCATGTGTCCAGGGTGCCAGGGACTCACTCTCACCATGGCAAAACTCTGGTGTCCTTTCTTGCAGTGATGCCTCTCATCCCCCTAAAGAGAAGGTGTAGTTTCCTTGAGTATTTCTCTTTCTGGCCCATTTCCTTATCTGTCCATTTTAAGTAGTGAGTCCAAGCATCTTGTCTACCAGATTTTGAATAACAGCATCCCTCGCCACATCCTAATATGCAGTTTGTAGTCAGAGCTCTGACTCTAAATTCCAAACCATTCTCATCATTCATCATTTCTTCTCTCTTTCTTCTTACCCACATTCAATCATCAGTCTGTCACATTCATATCTATGGCTATTTTCTCATAATGTCTCTGGAATTATACTTTCCTCTCATTCCTTTGCTGGATTGTATTGCATCTTAGCTGTCTCTGGACTTACCTTTAGCCACTACCTTCCAGCATATCCTGTAGATCCTTACCAGACTGGCTTCTCTCTCTCTCTCTCTGTCCCCCCTCCCTCCCTCTCCCCCCCTCTCCCTCTCTCCCCCCCCACTTCCTCTCACCAGATCCAGATGCAGCTGTCCCAGAATCATAAGCCACATAAACCCCTGTTCTTTATAAATCTCCCAGTATCAGGTATTCTGTTATCGCAACACAAAAACAGACTGATACAGTATCTTAATAGGTTTAGTGATTCTTTTTCCATAGATCAAAAAAGCTAAAATTTTGGCAAACCAGTGCCCTCATTTAAACTGAGTTAGAGTAGGCTTATGCACGTAATCAAAAGAAATTCTCACTTAGGAGTCAGAGTAATTATGGAGTAAAGCCAAGCCATTTCCTGTCCTGGATCCAGGGTGTGCTCAGGTCATAAACCATTCATTTGACCTTTTCTCACTCTACTCAGAAATCATCAGAGATTTCCCAATTCCTTTAGCATGAAATATAACTTCATTTGCTTGGCACTCAAATTTCTTTCTTTCTTTCTTTTTTTTTTTTTTTAAAGATAACTGGTAAGGGGATCTTAACCCTAGACTTGGTGTTGTCAGCACCACGCTCAGCCAGCGAGCAAACCGGCCATCCCTATATGGGATCCGAACCCGGGGCCTTGGTGTTATCAGCACCACACTCTACCGAGTGAGCCACGGGCCGGCCCTCAAATTTCTTTCTTTACGTGCCACTTTTTTTAAAATTTCAAAAATTGAGATATAATTTTCGTACCATAAAATTCATCCTTTTAACGCATACAATTCAGTGGGTTTTAGTGTATTCACAAAATTGTGCAACAGTCACCAGTATCACACTCCAGAACATTTTCATCAGCCGAAAAAAGAAAACTCTATATTTTTTCTTTTGTCATTTGTGCTTTTGGTGTCATATCTAAGAATCCATTGCCAAATCCAAGGTCATTATGATTGACCTCTATGTTTTTGCTCTTACATTTAAGTCTTTGATCTATTTTAAGTTAATTGTCATATATGGTATGAGGTAAGGGTCAACTTCATTTCTTTGTATGTGGCTATCTAGCTGTCCGAGCACCATTTGTTGACAAGACCGATTTTCCTTGTTGAGTAGTCTTGGTACCATCTGGACTCTCAATTCTATCTATATATCTGTCCTTACGGCATTACCACACTGTTTTTATTATTGTAGCTTTGGGCAAGTTTTTTTTTTTTTGGTGGCTGGCCAGTACAGAGTTTGAACCCTGGAAATTGATGTTATCAGCACTATGCTCTAACCAACTGAACTAACTGGCCAGCCCCTTAATGGTATTATGTCCACTAATTCATGAAAATGGGATGTCTTTCCATTTCTTTAGGTCTTTAATTTCTTTCAGCAATATTTTGTAGTTTTCAGTGTATGAGTCTTATATGTTCTTGTTTAGATTTATTTGTAAGTATTCTTTTGATGCTCTTGTAAATGGAATTGTTTTCTTAATTTCCTTTTCAGGTTGTTCATTGCTAGTGTATAGGAATACAACCAATTTTTGTATATAGTGCTTGTATTCTGTTACTTTGTTGAGCTCATTTATTAGGTCTAATAGTTTTTTGTTGATTCTTTATGGTATTTTATTTATATACATATATATATATATATATATATAAAGATCTTTTATATATATATATATATAAAAGGTCATGTTATGTGCAAGTAGAGATCCTTATACTTCTTTCCTTTCAATCTGGATGCCTTTTATTTCTTTTTCTTGCCTAATTGCCATGGCAAGAACTTGTCGTTCAATGTTGAACAGAGTGGCGAGAGTAAATATCCTTGTCTTAGTCCTGAATTTAGGTGAAAGCTTTTAGTCTTTTCACCATTAGGTCTGATGTTAGCTGTGAATTTTTCATAGATGTCCTTTGGCAGATGTCCTTTATCTGGTTGAGGAAGTCCTATTCTATTCCTAGTTTGTTAAATGTTTTTTTATCATGAAATGGGGTTGAATTTTATCACCTGGTTTTTTGTGTGAATTGAGGTGATCATATGGTTTTGTTCTCTATTCTGTTAATAAGGCTTATTACATTAATTGATTTTATAGATTGAACTTGTTTTCCTGGATTAAATCCCATTTGGTGATGGTGTATGATCCTTTGTATATGTTACTGGATTTGGTTTGTTAGTATTTTGTTAAAGATTTTTGTGTCGCCGGTTAAGGTGGCAGAATAGACAGTCCACAGTGTCACTGTCTCCCACAAGTCAACTAATTTATAACTATTAAAAAGTAACAACAGCCACGCTGGGGCTGCTAGAACTCGGGAAGAGGAGGAGAAACTTTCAGAGTTCATGAAGGCAGGAGAAGCCATGATGAGAGAAAGAAAAAATTGCTCTCACCATTTCGAGCCCCGGACGCTTCAAGGCTGGAGATGGTGAGCACACAGAGGGGGAGCTGGCAAAATCCACAGCTGTGCCCTTCATATTAAATTGCTTGGAGATGGCAGGGGAGAAAAGGGTTTTAGTGGTCCCCAGGCAAGCAAGACCACTAACAGGGTTCCTGTAGACCCATATAAGAGCGAGGAGCTACAACAACTGAAAAGAGGAGCGACTCAGAGGCTGGTGAGTCATCACAACGGAGCAGTGCACGTCCTGTCCCATGGGAGTGTTTGGAGTGCAGGTGGTGGTGGAGATGGTCGCACTTGGGGAACACTGAGGCACAGCATGGACAGCTGATCTGCCCCCGAATCAGCGCAGGACCACTCAGTGGAGATGATCAGAAATACAGAACTCCAGGGGGTGCAGTTTGCTGATAAGACTCAGGCCAAGATCAGAGTTTCCACACAACCCAGGTGTACCAGACCTCATAAGACCTGCAAGTACATACAAGGCCAACAATTCAAACCTGAGCTGCACAAAAAGCCTTTCCCAGGAAGTCAGCAGCAATGAAGCAATTTAGCTTAGCTCAACCACAAGGCTCAAGTTCTGGTCCCCACAGGAAGTTCCCCCATTTTAGAAGTAAGCAAAGGTCAACAAATTAGTTCCAGTGCAGAGTTTAAGTGGTGGGAACAGCAAATTATCAACACAGAACTGTAAGAAAAAGCAAAATACCCACAGATCAGAGACAAAGTTTGATATTAACTAGTAAAGGTCTAACACCACCAAAGAACACCTATAAAACTGAGAAGGACCAGAAGCCCCCTGGGTTCCCAAGCTGGGGAGAGGGGAAGGTGGGGATTTCAGCTCCGCCCCCCCACTTCTGCAGCCAGCCCAGGGACGACCACCAAGCTGCTGCAGGAAGTATCCCAAGCTCCCGACCTGGGGCGGTTGGGGCTAGGGGCCTCAGCCGCACCCCCCTGACATTTGCGACCACTGAACTGCCACAGGAAGCACCCTGGGCCCCTGAGTCTGGGCAGTGTGGGGACGAAGGCCTCAGCCACACACCCCCTGACATTTGCAACTAGCCCCAGTGATGACCACTGAGCTGCTACTGGAAGTGCCCTGGGCTCTGAGCCAGGGCAGTGGGGAGGCCAAGGGTTTTAGCCATGCCCCCCTGATATCTGCATCCAGCCCAGCAATGACCAAGCTGCTGTTGGAAGCCCCCTGCAGGGTCTCCCCTGCCGGAATGAGGGGAGTGCCTTGATCATGCTCCTCTTCCTTCCTTCTTTTCCCATCCTATTTCCCTCCCCCTTTCCCTCTCCCCTTCCCCCCCAACTGCTCCACAGTAACATCTTAGAGTCAGGCATGGAGCTGCGGGAAACTGAACCCAGCTGCAACCAGGTAAAGAGCACCCCAAAATACCATCTCTACACGGGTAGCCCACCATAGCCACCACAATTGCCATGGCTGCCACAAGAGTGGCTATTTTCTATAGCAGCAGTCACAGCCACTGTGCAGATGACACATCAGACTCTCAACTGCATTGACACAAGGAGAGGCACCAGCAGAGACCAAAAAAAAAGAAGAGGTCCTCTCTCTCCACAAAGCACACTCCAGAGTAATAGAAGAAGCATCTGATTTATAATAGGGGAGGATTTGATCATACCTGTCTCCGTACTGGACAGATCATCTAGGCAACAAACCAACAGAGGAACAGTTAATCTATCAGACAGAGAGAACAAATCTATGGTTATGGGGGGGGAAGGAGAGGGGGAGATTGAATATGGGGCATAAAGAATATGATTTGTAACAATGAATATGCTAATAAAAATACATTAAAAAATAAAGATTTTCATGTCTGTACTCATTAGGGATATTGATCTGTAGTTTTCTTGTGACATATTTGTCTGGTTTTGATATCAGGGTAAAACACTGGTCTCATATAACATGTTGGTTGTAATATACTGTTTCAGTCTTGCTGACCACTATGCCCCTTCATAAGACTCTACATTCCAGCCACACTAGCCTTCATGTCTCCCTAATGTGTCCTGGCCAATCCTGCCTTGGGTCTTTCCTCACGTATCCCCTCTTGATCTGTTCACCTTTTCTTTGAACTTATCTTAATCTTCTTCCTCTTTTATTTATTTATTTATTTTTTTCGTGACTGGTAACGGGATCGCAACCCTCGGTGTCGCGCCTGCACCGCGCTCAGCCAGTGAGCGGACCGGTCTCTATATGGGATCCGAACCCTCGGCAGAAGCACCGCCGCGCTCCCAAGCACTGCACTCAACCGAGTGCACCGCTGGGCCGGCCCTTCTTCCTCTTTTAAAAACTCAAGTCCCAGCTCTCATGAAATCTCTTTAGCTGTTCCTATCCCTTCTGATCTCCTTGTCTAAATTCTCTCAACATGGAATGGCTTTTTACTTCTGTGCTGTGTTGTATGTATATGTCTTTCTCTCCACTAGGCTTTTTCTTTTTCTTTTTTTTTAAAAAGATGACTGGTATGGGGATCTTAACTCTTGACTTGGTGTTGTCAGCACCATGCTCACCCAGTGAGCTAACCGGCCATCCCTATATGGGATCTGAACCCAGGGCCTTGGTGCTATCAGCACTGCACTCTCCCAAGTGAGCCACGGGCTGGCCCCTAAGCTGTTTCTTGAATGCTAGGAGCACATATTTTCTAGAGATTTATTTATTTATTTATTTATTTTTTATTATTATTTTTTTTAAAGATGACTGGTAAGGCGATCTTAACCCTTGGCTTGGTGTTGTCAGCACCACACTCTCCCAAGTGAGCTAACCGGCCATCCCTATATAGGGATCCAAATCCGTGGCCTTGGTGTTATCTGCACCACACTCTCCCGAGTGAGCCACAGACTGGCCCTTCTAGATTTTTTTTTTTTCTATATATGACCGGTAAGGGGATCTTAACCCTTGACTTGGTGTTGTCAGCACCACGCTCACCCAGTGAGCAAACCGGCCATCCCTATGTGGGATCCAAACCCGTGGCCTTGGTGTTATCAGCACCGCACTCTCCCGAGTGAGCAACAGGCCGGCCCCGGGCCCTTCTAGATTTTTACTTCTTTTTTTTTTTTTTTCTTTTTGTCTTTTTTCGTGTCCGGCAACGGATCGCAACCCTCAGTGTCGCGCCCGTTCCGGACCGGGATCGCAACCCTCGGCGCCGCGCCCGCACCTCGCTCAGCCAGTGAGCGGGAACCGGTCTGCATGTGGGATCCGAACCCTCAGCGGGAGCAGAGGTTATGAAGAGTGTTTTTATGAGCTATTATTTCAAAAAGTCCAACAGGCATTCTATCTTTATCTAACTAAATGTTGTCTGTGTTAGTTTTTATTGTAGTTATAACTTTTTTTTTTTTTAAAGATGACTGGTAAGGGGATCTTTACCCTTGACTTCTTCGTGCTGTCAGCACCACGCTTTCCCAAGTGAGCTAACCGGCCATCCCTGTATAGGGATCCGAACCCGTGGCCTTGGTGTTATCAGCACCACACTCTCCCAAGTGAACCATGGGCTGGCCCTTGTAATTATACCTATTTTGATAAAACAAATGAATTCATATTGATCAGAAGCTCTGATCAGCATTTATATGTGTATAGGTATTTCTCATTATCCAAACTCCTCCTTTCCGAAGTCAGGATCTACATAGATTTAGATAATGTGATATCCTTCACTGTCCAGACATTCAATCTGAATGCTTGCTCTCCAAATTTGGAAACTGCATAGATTCAGATAATGTAGGTCACTTGAATTTTTTTTTAATGGAGAAATGAAATATTTAAGAAATTCAGTTTCATACATAAATTATTTTAAAACTGGGATAAATTTGGGAACCATTGCCTTGGTTCTTCTAGTACTTCCATTCTCTGCCTAAACAGTTTTTCTATCTGGGAGAAGGACTTTATCAAGCACCCACTCTATTCTTTTGTTGTTGTTGTTGGCTGGGCAGTACAGGGATCCAAACCCTTGACCTTGATGTTACCAACAACACACTCTAACCAAGTGAGCTAACCAGCCAGCCCCCCACTCTATTAAAAAACCCTTTACTACTAAGTGCATATCTTTGCATATTCATATTTTGGTATAAAATTCCTGTAAGTGGGGCTACCATTGCTTTCGAGGAGGTTGTACATTTTCAGAGTGCCTTGCAGAATGCAAGTTTCATTTAGCAATAGCCAAGAACACTTGCCTATTTGTAGACCTTAGCAGTTACTATATAGCAGGCCATTCTTCCTTGTTGTCTTCAAAAACTTCTTAGAAGACATGTAAATATTAATTTGGTTGAGAAACAAGGGTTTTTATCAAATCAAATTTAGCTAGATAAGCCCAGCTGTCTTGTCTGCCCTCCTGTGATGTGCAGAGCAACATTATTTGAGTCCTTCATTCCCAGGGTCTTGCTTTAGCTTAGGGTAAGACTGTATAGGCTTTTACATCTCTTGATGTTTGTTTCTAGAAGACTTAGTCTGTGCTCCTATTAGTCTCTCAAGGATACTTGTCTGTTTCCTGTGGTCCTGTTGTTTTTATTTTGGTGGCAGGCCAGCACGGAGATCTGAATCCTTGACTGTGGTGTCATCTGCACTGTGCTCTACCAATTGAGCTAACCAGCCAGCCTCCTATGGTCCTATTTGCCTAAGAATGTTTTCAAGCTTGAGTTTGGCCTTTTCCCCCAACCATTGGGAAGAGACTGCTCTCCTTTATTTTATGAAAATAGCTATAACAAATGAACAACTCCTGTCTCTGAAGTGAGGAATTTTTTTGGTTGATGTCTATGCCAGTTCACTTTCTGTATTTGCAGGGTGTGTTATCTGGGTGTATACCCTAAGGAAAAAGGTGGAATAGCTCCTGGAAATACAGAAGATAGCTCTTTCTGAGGGATCCCAGAGGTTATGAAGAGTGTTTTTATGAGCTATTATTTCAAAAAGTCCAACAGGCATTCTATCTTTATCTAACTAAATGTTGTCTGTGTTAGTTTTTATTGTAGTTATAACTTTTTTTTTTTTTAAAGATGACTGGTAAGGGGATCTTTACCCTTGACTTCTTCGTGCTGTCAGCACCACGCTTTCCCAAGTGAGCTAACCGGCCATCCCTGTATAGGGATCCGAACCCGTGGCCTTGGTGTTATCAGCACCACACTCTCCCAAGTGAACCATGGGCTGGCCCTTGTAATTATACCTATTTTGATAAAACAAATGAATTCATATTGATCAGAAGCTCTGATCAGCATTTATATGTGTATAGGTATTTCTCATTATCCAAACTCCTCCTTTCCGAAGTCAGGATCTACATAGATTTAGATAATGTGATATCCTTCACTGTCCAGACATTCAATCTGAATGCTTGCTCTCCAAATTTGGAAACTGCATAGATTCAGATAATGTAGGTCACTTGAATTTTTTTTTAATGGAGAAATGAAATATTTAAGAAATTCAGTTTCATACATAAATTATTTTAAAACTGGGATAAATTTGGGAACCATTGCCTTGGTTCTTCTAGTACTTCCATTCTCTGCCTAAACAGTTTTTCTATCTGGGAGAAGGACTTTATCAAGCACCCACTCTATTCTTTTGTTGTTGTTGTTGGCTGGGCAGTACAGGGATCCAAACCCTTGACCTTGATGTTACCAACAACACACTCTAACCAAGTGAGCTAACCAGCCAGCCCCCCACTCTATTAAAAAACCCTTTACTACTAAGTGCATATCTTTGCATATTCATATTTTGGTATAAAATTCCTGTAAGTGGGGCCGGCCCGGTGGCACACTCGGTAGAGTGCAGCGCTTGGGAGTGCAGTGGCACTCCCACCAAGGGTTCGGATCCCATATAGAGACCGGTCCGCTCACTGGTTGAGCGCGGTGTGGGCGCGACACCGAGGGTTGCGATCCTGTTGCCGGTCGCGGTACGGGCGCAACACCGAGGGTTGCGATCCCGTTACCGGTCATGAAAAAAGACAAAAAGGAAAAAAAAAATTCCTGTAAGTGGGTTTGCTGAATCACAGGTTATACACATTTTTAAGTTTCGATAGACCTTAGGAGATTGTGCTAGTTCCTACTTCCATTCTGATCCCCTTCTTTTCTTCCCTCTATAGCTTTTATTGTTGTTGTTGTTGTTTTTAATTTTTATTTTGTTTAGAAGAGATAATATATTCACATGGTTCAAAATTCAACAGCTATAAAAAAGTACATGGTGGAAAGTCTGCCTCCCACCTCTGTCCTCTAACCATGAGTTCCCCTCTGGGGAGGCAGTTTTTTAGGTATTTTTCTAGAGTTATTCTATGCATTTGCAAGCACAGATATACATCCCCTCTGCACTCCTTTTTATTCAAATGATAACATACTAATCATTCTGATCTTGCTTTTTTCACCTAACAATACATCTTTTTTTTTTTTCAACTAAACTACAGACTGTTCATATTTCACCAGTTTTCTAATAATGTATCTTGCAGATTTTACAGTTTCAGTATGACGAAAGCTTCCTCATTCTTTTGTACACCTGCTTGGTATTTCATTTTATGGGCATACCATAATTTATTTGACTGTTCCCCTCATGTTGGACATCTAAGTTGTTTCCAGTTTTTTTGCAATTATGAATAATGCTACAGTGTGTGACATCATTTCATACATGCATAGGGAGCTACTTTAAACCATTTTGGTGATTACTCCTTCTGATAGTTACCTTCCTAATGTTTTTTTTTTTTTTTTTTTTTTTTTTTG